AGTCTGTATTAAAATTTACAATTAACTAACGAAGCATACATAAGAATTACTTTCTCATAAAAATAGATAACGGCACATACTGAAATGTGCACATAGATTACTTGTAATGTTGAAGAATTCTGGCAGCGATAAAAATTAAAAAAGAAACAACAAAATTGATCTGTAAACATTAATCTTATGGTCATTAACTTTTCTCTCGGTCGCATCAACTTTCTATTAGTTACTTACTAGAACCTGCTCTATTAGTTTCTGGTGATTTCAAAAGTTTTCTTCTTACATATATTGGCATTTAGGTTAAACTTCAATTATCCCTGATTACTTGAAATAATTGATCCAACTGCAAAGTTTGTGTAGTGCGTAGCCCTGGCTTTCGAACCGTGATGAAAAGTGAATAGACTTCTCCTTGGTCTTCAATTTTTAATTCTTTTTCAAACTTTCCGACTTTTACTGGTACCTTGTCGTATTTTATTACTTCATAGAGATATTTGGCGTTGTAAAATGCAGCCTGCAAGTGGAATAATTTTTAAAACAGGTAATTTCCTCATTCCTTACAATTACCTGTACTCTAAATTTTATCATTTCCTCAAATCTCGAAAACTTTTCAGTATTTAGAGCTTTGAAGACTTTGATCCACACATAATTCTTTACACGTGTTCAGGTTACACAAATATTAAATGGTTTAATGTAGAATCGTTAATACTACCAAGTGTAAAATACTGCGTCTCTATCCTCTCAATTCTTGCTTATTTTTCTTGAAAATTGCTTAAAAGATACTAATCAAGAAAGAAAAGTAAAAAAAACTTTACAACAGAGGCAATTTCCTGTACTGAGGAGGGATCATTGACGGTTTCTTTCACGAAAAAACCAGTATATTCCGTAAATTGATTTGGCATCTAAAAAAATTAAATCCAAACACCGAATTCTGCAAATTGTGTAATATTGGACAAAAACTGTGTTAGCATCGAAAATTTCAAGCTTACGTCGGTCAGAGAAATTGCACAGAAAAATTAAATGAATTAGAAACCAGACTGTTTTTTCAAGTACTTCCATTAATTTGCAACAAAGAACCACTAAACCTTTAGGCGAAAATTGGTGACTCCGTTACTAGTTAAGCAAATGAAGTCAACAGATGGCTTTTCTCCGTCATTAAGCCCTAAGCTTGGTGCTATTAGCTCTGGTAACTCCATCCCCCGTCAAACCGAACTTTACAGTGCCGCTGGAAAAGAGCTAAATTTTTTTGAATGGCATCAAAGACTAAACTGACATTCTAAGTAGTATCAACTGTTTTGTCATCGTAAACACCATAGACAATGTCATTATAAAAATCACGAACGACGATTCCTGAATAGTCTTCCTGTTGTCACTGTTAAAACAACAAATTTATTGTGAAGAACTCAAATGACTTTTTTTGTTCAGTCAATATACTACAATTTTAATTATTCTCCAGTGAAGTCTATGACAGATTTTTTTTTGAAAAACTAATTCAAAACTTCTAGTTCTAGATCTCGCGTCTGCCTTGACTGTAAAGATATGCTGCTTTTGTAAAAGAAAAGCCAAAGAAATTAGTTTTTATTTCAAATTCATTTCTGCTTTGATTACGTCAAAAAACTTCCCCCCTGTAGGTCCCTGCTTTGTACCAATCATTCTTCCAAATTTGTTGAAAAAAAGCTGTCAGTCATTATTTTTCATCATTACATCATAAAGCTGTTATTTTCCAGAACTGTAAGTTGTCTAATTATCTTTTTTGTAGTCATCTTTTGTAAAGGTGTTTATCCCGAACTAAATCAAATAAATTAGATTACTAAAAGTTTTTTTTCTGCTACTTTTTGATCGATACTTTAAACTTTGCAACAAAAAAAAAAAAACTAAATTTTTAAATAATCGAATACAGATAAAAAATTCCAATTCCAAAATTAATGAGTCTGTCAATTTTAAGTTGGAAAAGACTATGTAGTTGTGTTACCGTTAACGCATTTAACAGTCCTTGAGATGAGCTGTAAGAAAAGTAACAAAGAGTGTTTTATTAGATACAGATGTTTTGCACTTCAAAAAGCTGTATTATAAGCAATCAAATAAAGAAGAAATAAAAAACCGCTCATAATGCAGCTAAAAGCAATCGAGTTAATGTTTGTATTCCAAATCTACATTGTTCTTCTTTGCTTCTTAGCCTACCGCAGCAGATGAAGAAAACTATTCACAATTTCTCATATTATAAAGATCAGTTGCTATAACACAGAAGTTAAAGTCTTGTCAATTGAGCCAATTTCATACCAGTTTGTTGGACGCAAAACATCTTTTATTAGCCATATATCTCTGTGGTACCTACAGAGTAAGAATGTTTAAATAATTTTTATCTTCCTAAACTCTTATCAAATTTCCGTTTAGACCGTTTGACAGAGCTGTGTAAAGAATAAGACGTCACCAATACATTACCGACTTCTGGTTATTTTCAGTTAATTAATCTAGCATGCAGTCTAAAATTGCGGTAGTTTCATTGCTTACGATGTTACATACAATAGTCAAAAGAAATACATAACAAAACCTGTGCGTTTCATTTAATTATGGCATCAAGATACCGAGAGAAGGAAAACGTTTACTGAAATTAAACACCTTGTTTCTACCTAAAACTGTGCCATTGCCACAAAAATAAGAAATATGACCATAGTATTCCTAGTTTTTTTTTTACACCTTAAAATCCAGAAAATTCTATGCCGCCACTTCTAATTAGATTAAAACAGACTGTTAATTTTAATCAAAAATTAGTTTCTTTACAAGTTTTACCAAGATCTCTCTAACAAAACAGTTAAACATTAAATTGTCAACAAAAAAGAGCTTCTTCTTCCAATTTCTAAAAAAGGTAGTCTAACCTCAGAAAAAAAACTTATTAAGTGGTTTAGAAGTTTTGCTGCTCAGCAAATCTAGAAAGATAAACAGTTAAAAAATAAACTGTTTTTGAAAATGTTAGATAAAAACTTGTATAATACAAAGAAATAATAGCATTTAAATCAAATGTTACAAATTGTGGAAATGGGGAATACTGCCAGCCAACAGTACAACGATACAATAATGTTCGATAATGTTGACTGTTGAAAAGCGAAGTTCAGGCAGACTAAACCAATAAGCGTGTAAAAACACCTAATTGCCCGTCCTATTTAACGCGCAAATTTTTATCACTTATCAGTAATGTAGCGTTAAACGGCAGTAACTTACTATTGATCAACAGCACTAATGCTTCTTAAAAGCGACAAAGTGAACCAATGATAATTACTCAAAAAACTGCAAAACATTTCAGAAGAAAAAAAAAGAAATAAAAAATAAATAAAAAAAAAGGAAAATTCTGAATGCTTACCTTAGTTGAGTAACTGTCTGCCATTTTTTACGCGATAATCAAAAATGCACATATTGTTCAAAATTTCAAAGATAATGATCGCATTCGGCAAACAACATTAGTCCTCACCACTTTAAGCAAATGTTCCGCTTAATATTCAACTGAAAAGTGACTGCTAAAGTGCCAGTAATACCCTTCGGCTATTTCAGGGTAACAATGCCTTGAGGTAAAATGCGTGCGAACGAATTTCTGGAATCTCTTTGAAAAACGTTAAATTAGTGTTTAACAGGTGTTTTCAGGAATCAGACGCCAGTAATTCTGTTTCTTTTTTTAAGTTAGAAGAACTGTTTGGTATACTTCACTTACCATCTGAAAGGGCAATAAGACTGTTGCAAAAAACGCTTTTTTTACGCAGCTGCTGTCGTTCTTTGTATCACACATTTAGCAACATTCAAAAAAATTTTTTTATTCTAACGCGACTGTATTGGCTTGAAAAATGGTATTTTATGCATTATTTTTTCTTCCTTTGTGTGCAGTTCACTGTTGTCGTAATGCCTTGAACGATTTTCTTCTTTCGCTGCTGATGCATTGAGAAACAGATGTAAGAATGTAATATGTAATTATTAATATTAGAAGCGTTTAAAAGTTTTGATGACAAATACCGTTGAAACAGTGAAGGTAATAATTATAAAGAATATTTTAATCGACATAAAGAAAAAAAGAACGGTTTTTTTGAGATGAGTGCTGTTATCCTTTCCTTGTGTTATCAGTACGATAAACTAGGAGCAGCATACTACGATGAAGAAAATGCAAAAATTTATGTCCATCGTGACGTTACTGAAGACTCTCAGTTTCGTGCAGTACAACTGCGTAATTTTTTTTGTAATTAATATTCTAAAAAGTTCTTTATCGCAAATCTATTTACAGCTCATTTCTTTACAAATGCTTTTTAAAAAGGAAAAGAAGCAGATTTATGAAACTGATTAAAGAAAATTATAGCTATATAATTTTTGAATAGACATATGTATATGAATATAAATGTATAAAAATGAATAATAATATAAATATAAATATAAATAAATACAAATATTTACACAAGTACAAATAAATTATATA